CAGTTGTCCTACATAGTAGTTTCTTCTTCCTTTAGTAGATCATGTAAGGCATGGAAGCGGTTGTTGAGAGCTATCTTGAATTCGACGAATTTGTTAGTATCTCAAAGAAAGGCTGTATCGAACCTTTGTAATGCCGTTCTCCCAGTTGTCCATTGTTTCATTAGCTTCTGTTTCATCTTGGCCACTGCCAGGTGATGATCTGAAGCTATATCAGCTCCTCTCTTGATTCTCACATCCTCCATTGTGCTTCGGAACAATTTATTGATGCAAATATGATTTATTTGGTTCTCTGTGGTGTGTTCCGGTGAGATCCATGTAGCTTTGTGTGTACGTTTGTGTGGAAATATTGTGCTGCCTATAATCAATTTGATGAATGCATATGAATTTGCAAATCCTTCCCCATTTTCGTTTCTCTCTCTCAGTCCTTTTCGTCCCGTAATATCTTCATATCCGTTGTTGTCTATTCCGACTTTAGCGTTTAGATCTCCCATCAGAATGGTGAGATCCTTTCATGGGCACTTCACTATGATTCATTGCAGCCTCTCATGGAATTGATCTTTGTTGTCGTCTTTGCTGTCATTGTTGGGTGCATAACATTGGATAATATTCATTGTGATGCCCTCCTTCTTTGTCTTGAATGATGATTTGATGATTCTGGATCCATGAGATTACCATCCTACAAGTGCATTTCGTGCTTCTTTGGGCAATATTAGAGCAACTCCCTGAGTGAGTGTAGCACTATCCTCTTCGTGACCGGAGTATAGCAGCATCTCTCTCGTATCTAGCTTTGCTGTCCAGCTTGAGTCCAATGGGTTTTGCTGATTTCAAGTACCGCCAGGTTGTATCTCCTCGTTTCCATTGCTATTTGACTAGTCTTTTCGGTCTCGCATATTGTACGGACATTTCATGTACCCATAAAAATTGTTGCTCTGTTTGTTAGAAGGGTCATCAACCTTGTGATTTCCGAAGGAACTGGACTGTCATAATGAGGCATCATAAATTTTCTAAATGGGAACTTTCTAACTCCCAGTGTAGAGTTTAAATGGTTTAAATTATTTTCTCTGGTATCTAACTTAGTGAATGTCCGTTTTGAAACCCAGAGGGTTTGAAACCCCTTGGCTGCGACCTCCAGGCAATGGGCCGTCGTCTTAAGATCATTACTCACTGTCACACTAGATCCTTATGAGACCGGACTACTGGTAATGACACATCCCCTATGTTGTACGTATTAACCTTTGTATCCCCCAAGTGCATGTAGACACACTTTGCCTCATTGATAGGCATCAGCCACTCTTTAGACTTGTTATTCATATCATTTAACTCTGCCTGAAGAGCGCATGCGTCTTTGTCTCCAGTTATTACTCGCCCGATTTTTACATCGTCAGAGTATAATAACATTGGGAACTGTACTATACTTGGGAGTTCATTTGCGCAGTATAAAAAGTAAAGGGCTTAGGATGGAACTTTGAGGTACTCCACTAAGTACTTGTCTCTAAATGGGGCACTTCTAGTTTATGATTACTTCCTGTCTACGACCATTTTAAAAGAGGTTCAACAATACCAAGGTTTTCCAACTTCAATAACAGTCTATTAGTTAGCACCTTGTCGAAAGCTTTACTGAAGTTTATGTAGATAACATCCACTGAGTTTCCGTTGTCTAGCACCATTATCCAAAATTCCTTTGCCATAAGGAGGCTCGTTGTACAAGACAGACCCTTTCTAAAACCATGTTGTTCTATGTTTAGCAAGTTATTAGTTTTCCATAAATGCCATTATGGTCCGTTTGACTATTCTTTCCAATATTTTAACTACAACACTGATAAGGCTTACAGGTCTTTAGTTCGATGGAAGTTGTCTTGGTCCTGTCTTATGTATGCGAGTGACGATTGCGTCCTTCCAGTTCATAGATAACACACCTTGATCAAGTGACATATCGAATATCACAGTCAGTGAAGCCGCGATATGTTGTGCAATATGTCTCAAGATTTTTGGGTGTAGTTCATCTCTTATTAGCAATTCACAACATCCTCGTATGGGCAGTCTGTGTCCAGTAATCCCCAATATTGAAACTTCAGTGGGCCCTTACACAACATTAGGATCTAAAGATTTCAAGTTCTTGAATGAATAATACACTCTATACTGATTGTGTCCACAATAAAGTCATCACATGAACCAAGCGATGTATATAATCGCTTTTGAATATACGCATTACCTTTCGAAATGGTTGACAACGATAAATGGTCATTGGGAACAGCCAAATTATTGGGATCTAAATTACAAGATCTATAACTACTTGAAGCAAAATGAACAATAGCTTTGCATACTGACTGAATGTGTTTTATCTTACCACATTTAAGACATTTGGCATTACGAAATGCACATGAACTACGAGAATGAAATTTTCCACGTGATAAACTTTTAACAAACTTCATCTCACCTTTGTGATTTGCTCTGTAATTTCTTGTTTAAACAGCTTTCATATTAGCATGAGAGTAGAAATCACTGTTAAACCAAGGCGTTTGATTGACCCTGAGATTGTATTTCATTATGACGACTAAGCAAAGTATTAGAAATCTTCATCAAGTTCATTCACTACCTCGTAGTTAATAAGAGCACATCAGACACTGTCCTTAAAAAACTTTCATCCACTCGACCGTTCCCTTCATTATTTCCATCATCAATATCATAATGCTAAATACATTCATCATAAACTTTTACCTTATTATTTGTGAACGAGAAAACACATCATACATATCAATAATTGTTTTTCTTGCCAGCTGAACCAGAGTCAACCCCAATCATAGTGAAATGTAGCTAGCACTGGAATTTACGATGTGTAGACTATTTGTAAGAATTCTTATATAAACTAATCTATCCGATAAATACATTAAATCTATTTTACACAACTAACGGGTATAACAATATTCCATTTTTCCAAAGATTTTTTATTTATGATAGAACAATTAGCCAATATGTGCTTTTTATCGTTTCAGACATTCATAAAGTTATAACAGTCCTGCAGTAATACGCATCCACAAACTCGGTCACGCGTGAAAATCTTTAAGCCGTAAACCATTGATTCGGCTGGCATCCAGAGGTGTTATTATCTGAGATCAAAAAATCCACGATATTGTGCGATCGTCCACCATTGTCTCCAGTAAGTAGATGCACCACAGCAAACATAGTTGACTTCCACTGGTCACGGCTTCTCAGTAGAACTCTATGAAATTCATTTTGAAGCCAGTCACCGGTGAGCAAATGATGATAAATCCCATACTAGGACAAGACGACCGTCAATTGCCTCCTTGTTCTACATACTGGTCTAGCTTAGTTCGACTCATGAATTCAACTATTAGATTACTACAATCTCCATAAACCACCATTCGGTTACGTTGATTTGCAATCCGTGTTTTACATTCCTAATATGTATTTGGGAAGATTGACGGGGTAAATTAGAGGCATTGATGGTTGACTATTTTGCCCAAAACTAGCGGTTGAAAAGTACACACAGAATATGCAAACACAAAGAATATTTAAACGAACAGTTGATTACGTCATCAGGCTCCACGGTTAAAAATCCATAATAATTGTCATATTTTACAAAGACCAAAATAAGACAGGCATGAGTGAAATTGACAATGTTTTATGTGAACAATGATGAACATTCTCATGTGTTACCATGGAAATACTTGAAGATAGTGTGATTTATGAATTAGGAAGGTCACTTCATGAAGGTCGAAATGACTTGTAGTAAAGTTCCATGCTTTTATAAATATAATAATACTAATAATAATGGTGGTAATAATAACGTTGTGTAAATAAAATATGTATTAAAAGGAATATAGTTAAGGTAATTACGATGAAAGAGAATCAATGTGGATTAGGAAAGAGATAATCACAAAGAGAATTGGGATAATAGGCTTATTACATGTATTTGAGGTGTCTTGTGATTCAGTCGTGGACCACGGTAAACATGGAGGCTGAATATACCTTTTTCACAATGTATAATGATCATAGCCAAAACCATGTTTCATCTAGTGAAAAATGATTTTCAACTTATCTGACAATAAATATGGATTGATGACTTGCCAAACTGCTCCTGGTGAGGTAGATGAAGAAGAAGAAGAAGAAGAAATATTAGTAGAAACTTCTAACATGTATGCTGCACTACTCCACTTAATATTCTGAATGATTTTCCATAAGATCATTTTGAATCTGAAAATGAACACGACATCTTAATGGTATAGTTGAGTTAATCTGAACATTCGTATGTATTACATCATGTATTGAACTATAGTGTTTTGATACAGTGTTTGAAGCTACTGATATTTTTATAAGTAGTGAAATAAAATCAGTAATGACAATAACAACATCAATTTAAGCCATAACAGTAAATTAAAAAGTTAAGATTATAACAACAGACATATTTATACTTACTTAGATAACTATTATTACGGAGAATACAAGTCCATCAACATGGATTATTAAGCGACATATAGATTCCAGTCTTAAACGAGGTTAGTCGTGGAATTTATGGCTGAATTACAATGTTTTTTCGACCATGACACTAGGGGACAATTGTTCCAGTGATATATGAATTATCTGTACTTTCTATACTGCATATGATTCCGATTGGTGAGTGTGAGCTAGAGCAACATTTATGTTTCAAGCTACCAGCCCATTTCATTCAACCATCTTACATCTTGTTCATTCATAACTTAGCAATCAGATGATTGATTGTAGTACACATCTACTACTCATCCACTATTCATACACATCGTACATCATTGGTTTAACATAATATTAAAATTGAATAAGTTGTATTTTGATTGGTCAATAAATCACATAATCACTAACCGGGTTTTATGTTATAACATTTACCAATTTAAATGAAATTTTTTTTTATTATTGTTATTATTGTTACTGATAGAAATATATTAGTAACTAAGCAAAGTTTCACATTGTTTATTGATTTATTTATTTATTTAAACTATTTTCATATGCATTCTATAATTAAATCAATAATCAAATTTAAAAATAAAATCAATCAAACAAAAAAAGAATCTAATGAACAAATTATTCATTCAAAACATCAATTTAATTATTCAATAAATAATAATGAATTACAAAAAAATAATAAAAATAATATAAAAACAACACGAAAATGTAAGTTTAATTTATAGCATAGTAACAATGAATGATTTTTATTCTTATTCTTATTATTATATTATATTATAGCATTAATCAATAGATTACATAATAGGCAATCCTCAAATGAAAAATCTATAAATCAATATAATAATAATAATAATAATCAATTATGGAATGATCAAGATGATCATTTAAATGTATTAGATAATCATCAACAAATTAATGATCAACTTATGACATCATTAAAATTAATTAATAATCTTCCTAATTATGAGTAAGTTAATATGATCAATCAAAAAAAATAATCATTTCATTTTAAAAGAGATTTAGATCATGATCATAATGATGATTATCAAGAATATAAACAAACTATACAACAAATTAATTCTATCTTATCAAATTCAATAATCATTAATCCAAATTATACAGAAGAAGAATTAAATAAAGAACTTGAAAAATTGTAAGTATTTCATGAATTTTGATGAATATAGATTAATATTATTGAATGCTGATAGACTCAATGTTTTAGAGATTAAAAGTTTACGCGCCAGACCGATAGATCTTGGATTCGAATCTTATGAAGTGAGATTGTGGATGAGCACTGCTGAAAAGTCTCAGAATAGGATGAGTTGGTCATCCAATGCTTTCAGATTTTCCATGGTGGTTTAGCTTCAATTGACTTATATACTCTTAACTATTATAATTATATTTTGGTTTGATTATATTATTTATTGAAATAGATCATCTTTGTTAGTGTCTATTGAACATAATGAATAACTTCATTAATTACCTGACGTGAATAATGTTTCGTAATCAAATGATTTCTATATAATTTGAATATAAACAATATACACGAATCATGCATAAATTTCGAATACTTTTTGTGACCTCTTTATTTATTTATTTGAATAAATAAATATTGGTACAAAGGGGAACTGAATACATATGCGCCACACAAGTCACTTGATTTGTGTATGTGGGCTGTGATACTGCCCAGGTGCTCAGACCGAAGCAGGTGGTTTTCTAAGGAGCGCACACTCGCAACCTTTGACATAAAGGTTTGATCCACAAGCCAGTAGAGTAACATCAGGAGATGCAGTTTTATAGTAGCCGGTGACCAAAGATTGATTCATACGCCATTTGGAGCCCATGTGCACCATTGATTTAGTGTCAGGGTTTTCCGACTCCCACGTCCACCAACCCGGTTAGAGCTCCGGACATTCTTTTTAGGTCCTTTCAATTTCGTAAACAACATCGTTGTGAAGATGCAGTGAATAGGATTTCCTGGCAGTGGCTGTATACAAGTGACCGTTTGAGAGCATTTCGGTAGGGAGAGATGACTCTTCCTACTCTCGACCGTGGTACGGCAAAGAGTAGGAAATTCAATATATATATATATATATATATATATATATATATATATATTGTAACGGGTGATTGCAGGTTTTGATAAGCAGCGTTTATATCGATCGATTTGGTGTGACGTAAACACGTAATGAACGACCTAGAGTCCTGATTGGCCCTGCTTCCCTGTCTATCCCAGACAGTTGAGTTCAGAACGCAAGTCACAGCCTCCGAGATATGAATCATTATATTTCAAACACACTCTGTTTATATACTAACCAAGCAGACCACATCGTACCATAAAAATAGAAAACAGCATTTACACAATATTAAACAAGTGAAGCAAATATCGACCAATAGAAAATATACATTTAATGTCCAAGGACAACATTAGACTTAACATGATAATTATTGGTATATTTTTCTGTACACCCTGACACCTACCCCTCTTTTTTGAGGATCCATAGTTGATATCTGGATTTTAGAATTTTCTGCGTCCTTCCCATCCCCGCGAAATAATGTTGGGTCTTCATATACCCAAGTAACAGTTAGTCTGATTCTATTTAGAGCATATTTCGCGCATTGAGTAGAGGGTTCACTAAAACTGACTAGATGATGAGGATTAGCGACACCAGACATGAAGTCATTAAGGTTTCATTCTTGTGAAACGTATTCACCAGACCTCTTCAAGATTCCACCAGTGGATAATAGGTCACTAGAATAAACAGCTTCCTTGAAATTTGTATTAGGTTCCTGACCATTATTTGATGCATGAGTCACATTTTCTGGCACGAGTTCTTCTTGTGTGCTGTATACCTCACATGTTTCGGGCACAGTGGGATTTGAACCCACGACAGGGCATGCTTCTGAATCGCTGGACGGATCATGAGCGACTGCCTCGTTTGCATTACTGCTCGTTAGGGATTCATAGAGGATTTTGTTTTTATATTCATACGTCCTGCAGTCCTTTTTGAGTTCAGTATGCAAGTGAGAAATTAATTCATCAATTTCTTTCACATCTCCGAAACATGGGAGATTTAACAGTCGCGTGCGTAAATTGTCCAAAACATTGAACTGGCTCTTTCTGAAACGCTGCTGTTGGCGATCAAGTAGTAGCTGCAATTGATTAGGAAGGATGGTCATTTTCTGAAACAGCAGGATAATGAGGAATACAGTGACCAATTAACAATCAATGGCTTCCAAGATCACCGATAATAGATTCGGACGCTGATTGGTCAAATTAGAGGGTTCAACATTTTCTCTACCCCGTCGCCAATTGTTGTAACGGGTGCGACTGCAGGTTAGATGGAGCAGCGTATTTATCGATCGCCTCTGTACATCCTAACAATATATATATCATGAATGACGCAGATATATCTAGTTTCATTCTATCATAAATAAGTAAACTTTCGTTGTTCTGTCTAATTTAAAACTTTTGGATCAAATATTGAACCTAATACGGTTTTTAAATTTTGTTTTCCGAAGCTTCCTATTCAGTCAAGTTAATATGTTAACCCACAACGCATGACTAGCTAAAGTATAAACGGGCAAAACAGAATTGTAAAGATGGCTTTATTATCAAACACTCAATACATTATTTAACTTTGTAGGTGGACAAAACAACCGCTTCACTTGAATCATGATCCCAAACATTCAAATATGATTTCGTCATTTTAATTGTTTCATATTGTTTTGTTTTTTTCTAAGATAGACTCAAAACAGTTTAAATAAGAACAGGTCATCTCAATCAATCATATTAAATGTTAGATTAACAGAAAATTTTAACAGTAAGTGAGAATAGTCTTTTCATTCAAATGTTCATTCATAAATCTTCATTGAAATTGAATACATTTTTCTTTTTAAATATTCTGATATAAAAGTTTACATAAAATGTATTCACTTCAAAGATCTCAATATTTGACATGTAAGACATCAGCTAATAATTATGAAAGTTTATGTTATAACCTTACTTCTATCTGAAGTTTGTGCTGATGATTTCGTTCAGAAGAACGATGAAAGCTTCACGACCAAACCATCCAGCTCAGAGAATAAAACTCCGCTAAAATCAATATTCATATAATGAAAAAAATAATTGTTACTAACACCTAATGAAGTTTTTCATGATAAACAGAACAATTCGTTTTATCACATGTAAAGAAATTCCAATGATGTTTACTTCTATTCGAGATTTGCGGCACATGTGATGTTGTTCAAAATGGCAATCACTATATTTATTGATCAAACTGTTCAGTTGAAACAAATAAAAACTGCACAAAAAAATAACAACTAATCGATATATTGATCAGTGAATTGATATAGAAAATTTGTAGCTCAATTGGATAGTTTAAATGAAAATTCCTTTTTTTTTTGAACACATAAATACTGGCACAAGGGGGCACTAGTTACGTATGCGCTACACAAACCTCATTTGATATGTGTGAGGGCTGTGATACTGCCCGGGTACCCAAACAGAACCAGATGGTTTCCTTAGGGAGCCACACCCGCAGCCTTCGTCCTAAAGATCTAATCCACAAGGTAGTGGAGCATCGTAAGTAGATGCATTCTCATGGTAGCCGGTGACTAACAATTGGTTCATACGCTATTTGTTCCCTCAGGATACTGGAGCTCATGTGCACCATTGGTTTGGTACCAGGGTTTCCCAACTCCCTTAGGTGGATCCTGCATATCCACCAATCCGGTAAAAGCACCGAACATTCACTTTTCGTCCTCTCAATTTCGTAAACAACGCCCGTGGTGCGAGAAGCCAGTGAATAGGACTTCCGTGGCAGAGGCTATATACGCGTAGCCGTGTGGGAGAATTTCGTGAAGGTTAGCGAACTCTCCCCACTCTCGGCCGTACCAGGGCATTTGGGGGCAATCAAAATCCTACAATTAAACTATCTAATAATCAATCTATTTCAATAATATTAAAATGTGGATCTGTAATTATCATATTCAAATAACTGATTTGTTACTAAATTATTACATTGACCATATTTCGTCTGTAATATTCATCTAGAATGAGTCTTATCTAGATATCATCAACTTATGTAAAGTAGAAAATGGTAAAAAAATTTCAAAATGAAATGAATTTTTATCAGTGAGGTCTACGTTGTTATTAACACTGTTCTAATAATAGACCTAATCCTGAAATTGAATTGACGTGATGTGACTACCTAATCTATAAGATTTTACGTGTAAGTTACATCATTGTCTACACTAACTCATTCTATCATAAGAATCACCAATATATAACGGAGAACATATTCAAACCGGAGATAGAACCATATATATATAGTATTGGTATGTTTTCTAATAATTGTCGTAATTCATATCTCAGGAGAATTCAAAGAGTTCTATACGCGACCATTCAGTATATACCAAACCATTAAATATGCTAACTAGTAGTTTAACGAATAGATATGTCATCAATATATATCATTTAGTAGACTGTTTTCCAGTAACCAAATGTCAAAGGCATCGATAAGCTGTTACGATTCATAAAATCATTTCTCTCAATATATGAGGGTGCACGATCCTATAAAATCTCGTCAGATGAGGTGGTGAGTACTTGTATTATGTTTATGTTATCACCGTCTACTTAGACTTGTTGCACAGCCCAGTATAAGATTGGGTTTTAAAAAAGCTGAGAACCAGGAAATTAATATATAGAATGAATCTATGAAGTTAACAATCACTAGTCTGATGGATCTCGTTAGAGATGGGAATCCTGTTAAGGATATGTTCAATGGTCGTAATTCATGGTTGGAGACTTAAAATTGGTCATAGTAAAGTAGCTGCATTCGTTCCCAGTCTTCCTCTTGATAATGAGTTATTATGGCATCATCAAATTTCCACTCTTCACTTTAATTTATTCCTTTTGAAGTGTCTCATTGCTGTTAAAATTAATTTAATACCCTTACTTCTAATCTTCTCTCGCCATGCTGATGTAAGGCATGACACAATCGAGTCAAATCCTATGTCTTAAGGGGCCAAACCCAAAATTTACAAATCTCATGGTGAGTACATGATATTTAGACTACTGAAACGGAATCAAATGATCAACATTAAAATTTTCAATTAATATGGAGTAAAATATAACCATTACTAAATGTCATCAGTGATAACTGATGAGTTGAGTTTCGGATGTGTACAGTTAATGATTTCCAAACTAGAGTGAAAGAGTTTTTGAAAAAACAACACAACCCATTAATGTATATTGTGATAGAGTTATGAAATATGACGGCCAATCGATTGTAAATATCTCAAACTCAGTCACGACCCAAATAGGTCAATGGTAATGTCTCAGACTATGAGGCTGTATGAATTGGGTTCAGTTCTGATTGATAACATCAGTACCCTAATAATTCATATGAGGCACGAATTTATATTGATAGAGTCCCATGTTGGGGAGAAATATCTATTCCATTGTTATTTAGTTAATCTTTGTTTGTGCTGTGAACCAGTTTTGAAAACACATGCATATTTATCAATAGAATATAAGACTGGATTTTATCAATAATGCTATTGTAGATTGAACTACACTTGTCGTGGTGATATTTTAACTTGAAACTAAAACTTAGATAAACATTATTTATTGACAGTAAGGGGTCACGCAGATCGTTGAATTTCATTAAAATCATGGATCGATCCGAGTTAGACAACCGTTGAAAGCCTGAAAGCATCTGTAGGGCATTTCTTCCTAGTATGGGACCACTCAGCAGTGTGCATCCACGATCCCACATATAAAAATTAAACCTAGGACACTCGGTCTCTCGCGGGAACACTTAACGTTTAAACCAACAGGTCAGGATTTGACGGCGTTAGTTTTCGACTCCAATCCAACCACAATATTGAACAGCTATCTTCAAATGTTTTCGGTGAGTACTTACATCACGTCCGACATGGATTAGCTCCATAAACCACGCCTTCTCACTATAGATTTAGAAATTTTCTCTAGCGCTTGATTCTAACGTGCGGGGTTATAGATGCACACTGCTGAAGAGCCCCATAATAGGACGAAAAGGCCATAAAGTGCTTCCAGGTTTTCAATGGTGATCTAACCCGGACCAGTTCATGATTTAAATGAAATTTAATATTTATCGTCAATAGCCTTAATAATGATCATAAATAACTGAATTCATCAGTTTTGATTAATTTAATAATATGGTGATTTAATTTCCATGTTCATTAAATGTAACGTAGTGTTCAATTATATGTTTGTTTATACATCTTCAATTCACAATTTTCATATTAGCGCTAGCAATACTCCCTGACTGTTATAAAAAGTCCTTAAGCAGACAAATCAACGTTTGAAAGTGAATTCAAAGTGATTAAATTACAATTACTACTAATTAACAGTATTAAGTTGTAATTGAAAATAAAAGAGAGACAGAGAGATGGTTAAAAAACAAATAATACTTACTAAACCAATGTCATATTCGAAGAAATTGCCTTATTCGTAATGTTACGCAACATTTTTAAAATATTCAAACCAATGTTTACTCGGTTATAACAAAAGCTCTCACCAAATTGATGGCTAGTTAGTATAGAATGATAATATGAAAGTGTTATAGCTTATGAACCTGTGTGCCTTGTATATTGAATAACTCAACGATACCGCTAATCAGAGAGCAGTGCATTATCGATCGAACAAGTGACGCATAAAACACGTGCGAACAGCCTAGAATCCTGATTGGTCTCGCTTCCTGTCTAGCCCAGCCAGTTAAGTCCCGAACACTGATCTCAGCCTCTGCAATATGAATCATTTATCTCAAACATACGAGGTTGATATACCAATCAAACAGGCCACATTGTACCATAAAATAAGAAACAACATCTGTACAAGAATTAGCCAGATGTGGCTGTGAATGAGGGAGATAGTGATTAATAGACAGGCCATAACTCAGTAATGGTAAATCATATAGTAATAGTCTATGGGTCAAATGAAAGCTTATAATAAGAGCGATATGAGTATGAACAGTTTAGTTACATAACAATTATACGATAAAAATATACGTATAGTATTGGTCCATAAATGGATCCCAAAAGTTACCATTCATCGGGATATAACAGAAAGATAAGAATATATATTACTGATAATTGTTAATTTAGTAATATGTTATTCATTGTTTATTCAGATTTATTTGCATTTAGAAAGCAAATTGTTGCGTGCGGAGAAGATTAGATTATGGGTAACTTCCGAGAACTATTTACGGACTGTTACTATACACATATTTTATTGTATAACTGTTAAGCAACTAGGTTATATATAAATATATATTCCTTTTATCACAAGCCTTCAATCGACCTGCAATTTAGTATTCTTAAGTTATTCCCAGTTTATTAGTTACAGTTTCTCACACTCACAGATACTTTTGACTTAATCTTGTATATTTGCTATTTTCTATTTTTATGATATAATGTAGTCTGGTTTATTTATATATAAATCAAGTATATCTGAAATATATGATTGATACAGTGGAAGCTAAGATTGTGTTCTGAACTCAACGGATAGGGCTAGGCCAGACTACTAATTTTTACCCACTTTTACTTACGCCTGTTATCACTCATGTGGCATATGCTGCCAACAATAAATTTTGAACGAATCTTCTGCTCTTTGTTTTTAAATATTTTTCATGCACTGGTTGCTATTTATGGGATAGAAAGTCTAGGTCATATGCGAAGTCAAAATAAATTAGTCGGATCCAAGATGCTCACAGTATTCCGTGCTTCCTTCTAAGTCGTGGAGGTTTTCAGAATACAATTAACCACCAGAAAGAAGATGAAGGGAGGTAGAAATCAGTCTAATCACTGACACTACTCCTCACTTGAAAGGCTTTTGCCAGTTGATCACTATTCATGACTTAGTCACTTATAAGAGTTCCGTTTGATGCTAATAACCTCAGTTACTCCGTAGTAACGCAGAAGATACGAGAACGTCCTTCTACATACACTGTTGAATTGTCTCTTATAATCAATGATGTATAGTGATGAATTCTATTCAAATGACAACTCAACAATGATCCGTGGTGTCATAATTTGATCAGTGCCTGATCAGTTCTCAAGAAACAAAGCTTGTTAGCTTTGAAGTTTGGCGCCTACATTACACCTTATTCGGTTCAGCAACACTTTGTTGGAAGCTTTGTCTGAATATATATATATATATATATATATATATATATATATATATATATATATATATATATTAATTTCACCATTTAACCATCTGCTAATTTGAAATATGTAAGAAACATACATATCGACTGATTCCATAGTAAATCCATATGAAACTCAAACGGTTAAAGTTATAGTAAGCATTTCATAGAATCTTTTTGATCCACTGTATACGAAAGGTATCGAATTTATTTTTTATTTTGCAGATAGACTCGTGTCACATTTTTGTACATTTTCATTTATAATTTAACAAAATGATTTAATATCAATTTAAACATGAATTACATTTTAGTTGATGTTGTTTACTTGTATCTACCGATTGATATTTAGGATTACAATTGATTAGTCTCTTGTTGGCATGTGTGCATCCTAATGAACACTGTCTCGAAATTACCTGGAGTTACAAGCTTTATAAGCATAGATCAATAGTGGCTAGTAGTGAAATCCAGTTTTACGCGTGTTTCATCCTATTTGGGACTGAGATGCAGGTACATCCAGTTGACGAGTTCCAAATAAGACGAAACGCGCATCCTGGATCCCACTGCTAGCCAATATCCACCTTCGCTTATGAATAACATCTGTTTCTCTCTAAAACAAAATAAACATTCTTTGTTCAATAATTTCTTTAAATTGACAGATAATAAACACTTAGAAGAAGATGATACGGAAATATTTATGGAATGGATCAATTAAAATTCAATTTTTAAAAAAAAAATTATTATTATTATTTCAATTTCCTACACAATTAACGGATGTTTGATACATTTTCTGTAAGCCGCATACTACTTAGATAATTTAAGTAGGCGGATGTAACTAACAGATATTTTAGAGTTATTGTTATTGTTGCAAATATCATCTAACAATAGGTTTTAACTATTTTTATAGAAAAACACAAATAAACAAATATAAAAAACAATTTGATATTCAATATGTATAACTTCAAATTTCAATTCAATAAAGTAGAAAGTTGTTTAAACTACTCAATTTTATATAATTTTAACATTTACTTTCATTAAGAACTTTCATCTAAATTTGAACAAATAGTTTCATAATATTTTGGGTGACGAGTTTATGTGAGATGTTAAAGAGGAAGAATATATATCTCCTTGAAAATATTTGAACCAGATTGTCAGGTGAAATGTTGAATTTACTTCAAATTCTTTTGCTAAGATTTTATAAATACATTCTTCCTCTTTAAGTTACTTTCATTGTTTAATATCCCTTTGATGCGTTGAAGAAGAGAGTTTAACTTCTTATTTTACACTAAAATACATCATTTATGATTCAATTCTTCAATGTTTTATGAAAAAAGATCATTATGTTATCCTATTATTTTTGATTGAGTATTTTTGTAATTTTCATTATTAATCATATATGATCCAGAATTCAGTTATTTTTGAAAAAGTTTGTTCTTTTTCTTATATTAAAATTCATGTTTTCACTACATGATTTAATTTTGGGTTCAGAAACTTATATATATAATCTATGGACGACCTTTGAACGAATCTTTAGTGACCTTGAGAAAGATTAGCCAATCAGCGAACAGTCAGTATAGAGTAAAAAGATGTTATACAAAACCATGGAAATAAAGTGGATACACTTCTTTTACATGGTTCAAAAACTTGTCAAGATTAGAAAGAGATTCAGAGGTTCTAAAATCGTAATGCATGCAGTAGAAGAAATCATCCATACGGCTAGAGAATAGTCGGCCTCTGAAGCCATGATAAAGTCTCAAAAACTCTTTCAGCCTCGACCACATAGCTTCAATATTGTTTATGTGCACACCGGTTGTTGAGTGCACAAAATGCCAATTGTGGATAAGGACACGATGCGCATAGCCAAGCCTATTTAGGAGTATGTACGCTCTAAAAACATCTGCATATATTGTAGTACCTGGCTGCAACCACTTTTACTGGTGCTTCTATTATCCAGTCCGTGATAATTGTAGTAATTTGCCTTAGTTAGGAATTATATATAAGGTTTTCATCATGAACTGACATCACCTATAATGCCAGAAATCTATTTAGCCAAATGGATGAAGGCTTTCGCGTTAAAATCCGAGATCTATTATCTTATACCTGATTGATTCGTCTACAAATAATAGTCTCGCCGTTTTATTTGTTATAGTCGCTCAATTATCACGTTTTGTACAAAATTCCTTGTGAACCGATCGTACGTTAGCATTAGGCACTGAAGTTGGCGGCGTAACCTTGAAATCTCTAAAACACTTCTGATCGGCTCGTTCATAAATCAGATTCTTGCCGATTACGTGATTGTACAATCTGAAACATCTAACTATATATAGCTGTTGATTTATTGCATTATTTTCTATTTTTAAGTAACATTTCATAAGTAATTGTACACAGTTTTATAAAACAGGATGTATATTTCTTTTAATAGACATGAAAAAAGCTCTTTGTTAAATGTATGTTCTAATAAACGGAATACACCCATTTAGACATTAATTAAGAAAGTTTAATTCAGCGAAGAGTTCCCTTTTTTGGCTAATTCATTTTCAAAGCTGTACAATCGCAAATGTATATATACTTATTTTTACAGGATGATAATCATAATGATAATAAACTTCTGTTAGGCATGTTCACAGTGAGGTTAAATAAACAAAGGTATTAAAAAAAATTCTTAAAACATGGAAAGTTTTATAATCGTCTGATTGTTATTGGCTTAAGTATTCATCAATAGACAGATAGGGAAATTATCATTGGGAAAGGATGGCTCAGCGTGATAAAATAAAATGTTGAAACAGAGATGAAATGTTATCGAAATGATCAGGGAAATAAAAACAAACTAGTTGGGGGTAGAAGATTTAAAAGGGAATATGGAAGGTGAGGCAGATGGCTGTAAAGGAACAAGAGTATGAAAAAGAGAGAAGAAGAATTCTAATACATAAGGACCATGGTAGAAGAAGAGGTTGTACCAGTTTATTTTACACATAATTCTGGTTCTTCCAGATGTATGGCTATTGCTTCCGCAATGCAGAGAAGATGAAGTCTAATTGTCTTAGAAAGACTTCTACTTACCTTGTAGATGACTTTGAACGCAGAGTCTGTCTTGATTGAGTGACCGGTGTTCACAGGGTGTCCGATTATAGAACTTCCTATTGATCCGTTGCCTCCTCTTTTTAGCCACGCCGGATAATGTTCTTGAATTCTTTTGTATAAAGTACGCATCGAACGACCTATATACCTAGCTCTAGAAAAGCAGGTAAATTGGTAAATGCACATTGAATTGGTCAAATGCGATAATTTATCTTTTTGATTATTGATGAACATTGATCGGCTGGATAATAATATTCGCAATGTTGCTGAGAAGAATGTTTTTTTTAAAGAATCAGAAATTCTCCTCTTTAAGATGTATGTGGCCCTGTCGCCTTTGAAGTTGATGTTCATGGATGTTCTCACTTCTATTTTTGACTGTGTGTGAGTACATACACAAATTAATAAATCGAGCATGAATAAATATAACATATTTCTGTATCCATATACTATCTCAAGGTCAAAAGGATAGATAAGCGATTACAAACAAAATATATTCATGGAGAAACTGTTTATGCAATTCATCAATATTTCAGCTGATATATCCTCGTTCGATTTTAGAAGAAAATATTGTAGGGCCAGTGAAATGATACTGAGCCCTAGACAAATCATACGGCAATTGGGTCACTGAATATCGAACAGATCATTGATCCCCATCAAAGTCAAGGACAACTAACACGCATCAGTTTATGGTATGCTTTGGACTAGGCAATACGGTTGTGGTCTCACCTATCTCTGCACTCATTATTACTAATATATTTCCATAATAACGTCCTTTGTGTTATACGTTCTTCAAAGCATCCATAGTACTTTGATACGATGAAGGGGTAATCTAAGCTAGGTGCTAACCGCGAGGTGTGATTTCCATGTTAGCTAATGGTCATACCATTACCGTCTAAGTCGAGTAGGCCCCCAATCATTCGACATAGATCATCTACGTTGGTAATCTACAACATATATATATATATATATATATATATATATATATATACTTATATTGTTTGTGTACAATTTATCTAATTTTTCTATTGAAGTTTCCTAGTCATTTCTCAGTTTACTTATTAGTATTTCAGATGAGATAAGCTTACAAGAAGCGTGTAAATCCTTATATCAGAATCGAATGATAGTGAAAAGAAAGAGAAATCATTTCAGAGATATGATAATCTTTCCTAACAAAAATACCTACATAATATTCAGTGATTCATAAGAATAACTGAACATAGTAAATTCATATACAATGAAAGAAATGATAATATAAACAATTAATAGGCTTAATGATAATAATAATATATACAAATGAGTAGATCATGGTTCATTAATGATCATTTATTAAGACATTTCATTTGACTAAATATTTTCAAGAGAAATCAATGAAAACGTGTATTTTACACACTTTATTAATATAAAAATAGTTTACTGATATGTAGTGTTTCTAAGTATTTGAATTACAGTATGAAATAAGAATCCCAGAAATAACATAATCGGATCAAAAAGTACTAGATAAACACAAACGAATGTACCGTATTTAGAATTTCAAATCAATCATTCAACAAGTACAAAGGTATCATTAGTTCATTCAAAACACCACATGATCTTAGTATATGTAAAATTTAGCCCAAATTGAGAATACACACATTTTATCAGGTATTGAATAAATAATAAAGATCAAAGAGTACTATAGAAACAATAAAGCACGAGTTTAAACTCAATAAAAGTCAATCATTTAGATTAGTTACTTTTAAGTAATATAAAACTTTATGAATATTAAATTGTAATTTAATAAGATATCTCTTATTGATGAATGATGATGATGATGATGATGATGATGATGATGATGATGATGATGATGATGATGATGATGATGATGATGATGATGATGATGATGATGATGATGATGATGATGATGATGATGATGATGATGATGATGATGATGATGATGATGATGATGATGATGATGATGATGATGATGATGATGATGATGATGATGATGATGATGATGATGATGATGATGATGATGATGATGATGATGATGATGATGATGATGATGATGATGATGATGATGATGATGATGATGATGATGATGATGATGATGATGATGATGATGATGATGATGATGATGATGATGATGATGATGATGATGATGATGATGATGATGATGATGATGATGATGATGATGATGATGATGATGATGATGATGATGATGATGATGATGATGATGATGATGATGATGATGATGATGATGATGATGGTGATGATGATGATGATGATGATGATGATGATGATGATGATGATGATGATGATGATGATGATGATGATGATGATGATGATGATGATGATGATGATGATGATGATGATGATGATGATGATGATGATGATGATGATGATGATGATGATGATGATGATGATGATGATGATGATGATGATGATGATGATGATGATGATGATGATGATGATGATGATGATGATGATGATGATGATGATGATGATGATGATGATGATGATGATGATGATGATGATGATGATGATGATGATGATGATGATGATGATGATGATGATGATGATGATGATGATGATGATGATGATGATGATGATGCTACGTTCAATTTTATACTGGACTTAAAGCATAGCTGCTATCATTTAATGTGTGATTTCATAATAGAACATCTACTCTTGTAAAATAATTTATCATATAACTGATAATTTCAAAGTCATTTCATTAATATACTTTAGAATTAGATGTGTAATATATCATTTTAATGATAGAAAATGGTAAAGATACTATGTATAAATTAGGTATCTAGTTGTTATACACACAATACAAAGTTACCTATCGATCGGTCAATGTTTTAACAATAAGTAATAGAAGTACATATATATATCATAATCCAATACATAACAGAAACTAATTTTTAATATTTTATGATTATTTTATTTATTTGCACTTTTCTTTAGTACTTTTAATATGATTATTGATGTTTATTATCATTATAGAACAATTTAATGGAATCTATGGAAGTTACATCTATATGTTATTAGAATATCTATAAATTAGTTTCAATACAAGAATACTTATTACCTTTAGTTGGCCATATCTGGTTAAGAGTATGTTATTTGATCTTCCTCTCCTTCTTTCGCCTCGAAGATTCCATGTGAGTGATTACCTTGTGACGCAGTCGGATGCTTTCGTCAGTGTGTGACCTACCCACGTCTAGTGTTCCTTCCCAATTTCTTCCTCCGTTGGGACCTGATTTGTTCTCCCCCATAATTGGTTGTTTGGTGATAGTGTCTGGCCGACGGATCCAATGTATTTCGTGTAGACAACTGTTAATAAACATTTGTATCTTCTGGTTGACGGCTTTCGTAGTTCTTCAAGTTTACGCCCCATACAATAGAACTGTCTTGACATTTACATCAAAAATTCTGACCTTGGTGTTGATTGACATTTGTTTTTAGTTCCAGATGTTCTTCAGCTGTAGATTTGCTGTTCTTCCTTTGCCAATCTGCGCTTTCACATCTGCATCAAATCCACCATGTTCATCAATGATGCTGTTCAGATACATCTTCCAAACCCTTATTTGGATAATAAGTAGTAAAAACGTAGGAAAAAGCTTCACTTTTCTTGCACGTATTCGATTTGATATTTTTTAAAATATGCATGAAGAGTTTTTTTAGTCAGATGAACAAATTTATTGGAATCACATGGAAAAAAAACTCCGTTTCATTGACAGCAGAAAGTCTCCATGACAACAATAAATAATAATAGATTTTATATTCGTGTTGTTTTCAATTCTGTTTTTTTTCTTTGTATTTTTACTCATGATTATTCTCATATTCATAAATTTAATTTATGCCCAGTCTTTTTTAAAATTTCTTTCATTTATTTGCAAATAGTATAAATAGGACAAAATGTGCAACCCAGATTCCACTTCTTATCACTATTCATCTTTGTTTAGAATACTTGTGAATTAAGGTAATATCGAAGTAATCCGCATAGGATGCACATATGCCAATAAGAGATTGATCAATAGAAAGATTTGGATATACAATACAAAATGAATGTATAATTAGAAGTTTTCTATTTGCTAAGTTGTTCTGTTTTCTGGCTATTGAGTGAACGAGTGTGGGAAACTGTATCCCGTATCCATAATCATTTAGTATTACTCTTGGAAGTTATCTCACTTTATTTTTTTGTCGTTGACATTAGAAAGACAGTCTGTGCAAGTTGATCAATACTTAGAATAGGTCAATACAACTGCTCTGCTTTCCTACGGTACGATCTTACGGGCTCCAAATAACGAAACAAGAAAATCCGTTTGTTTTCATAGATAAACCACTTATATTGTGTACTTATTTAAGAGCTGAAGTGTAACAGTTCATTTACGATTACTTTTGAAACATACCTAATTTTTAACTTAATTCAAGATTGAGGCTGAAAGTATATTTACTAAGATACAATTTCATTATTCATGATAATTATCATAAAATAAGTAGTCTTTAAGCGAAATGAAAAGGTATCTAAAATGACAAACCACACTATCATCATGTGAATAAACCTTTTAAAATACTCGTTATCAAATAGTTCGGGTGAGATATTTGCTGTGGATGTGAGTTCTTTTTCTATGTGTTGGGTCGTGGAGGAATTATACGACGTAATAAAAACGGTTTATGGATCACATCTAAGAGTTACTGGAGGTTTTTTATTGGAGGTGTTCATGGTTCTGTCGTTTAAAATAATATTAAACTAAATCCATCGTTTACTGATTTCTGGAGTTAGGAACTGTTTCGTATTTGACTTTATGTAAGCACATAATGGGTGCACCCGTTACCAGTCGTTGGAGTAATTGGAACTTTCAGGAGCCCTTAACTTTCATTATCTAATGAGGTAATTCAGAAACATTTAGTGAAAATATCATGCGCTTTCTTTATTGAATACGGTTTTATAACGATAAATCGCAATTGTATTAACAATTAACTGATAAGTTTGCATGATAAATAATATACATAACTAAACATTGAGCTCAGTTCATCGGTTTTCTGTGAAGTGTCAGCATTTTCCAGTGTGTGGTTATCATGACGTATCCACTTTTGATCTTTGCCTCTGACCACATACATTACATTCATTCGCCTTTCTATTCAGAGCCATTAGTCTCAATTCGGACTAACGCATTTTTAGTCTCAAGGTTAAACTAGCTAATCTATCGCGTCAAGGCCTTAAGCTATATCGAGACAATTTGTCTTCTGTACATTATTGAGTATACAGATCAATAACGTAACAGATGTGGCGGCGGTAATTTTTCTTCATTTTGATTGTTCTAAAAGAAAATGTCTATACTTTTGAACGACCTTAAAACTATTTCACAAAGTCAACAAGCACAGAATGGTGCAAATCGAATTAAGCTTTTGGAAGCACTGATGCCGAAGCTTTCATTTCATTCAACTTCAACCTCTCAGTCAGACAAGTATGAAAGCATAGCAGGTTCCATTTATGAATTTAACTTTGATTCTGAATCTGGCACCATATTCGATTTCTGGTTTTTTCGTTTTAGAGACTTATATCTTATAAACTATTTGGTTCTGACTTTGTGGTCTAAATATCAAACGTTACCGTGCGATCGAGGATGATCCAGGGTTCACATTGGCCTGTTCGTAAATGTGTACTATTAAGAACTGTCATGCTAGAACCAAACTACAACCGGATTCTTCCAGGTTTTCACGGGTTACTTGAGTTCGGTGAGTTTCTTGATGGGAACCGTTCTAATTGAAGAATTACTATTTTTAGTTTAAACGGTGTTCACTTTTTTATAACACCAAATTTATGACGTCGGTGATGGCTTTGGGATATTTAAAACATTCTTATTTTGAAGTCACCATGAATAAATAACAGTTTGCTATATCTACGTTCCAAGTATCAATGCTTAACTTCCGTTGACCTAGATTTCTCCGGAGATATTTAACAATATCTGTTTACGTATTTATTTAGAATGACTTTTTATGCTATTTCAGTCTGAATTCGATTGTTTAGAAAAACGTATCTGAAGAATGTTGGTTGTAAAGCTCATACCTGATGTTATAAAAAGTTCACTCACAAACTAATAATTAAATAACAGTCAATTTTCCTTTTCTCTAGTTGTTAGGGCTGATCGAATCCTATTGGTCGAATCGCAGTAAGACTACTGTCCTAAATAACTTGATATTTTGCATGCAATCAAGTGAAGGGATTCTTGTGAATAGCCTTTGAATATGTAAAAAAGAAATATATTTCAAACGATATCGAGTGATCGATACTAATGACTTCATTGGAATCAAATCAACACTGGGGATTGGACAAACAAATGAGTTTCATTATCCCTAGACTAATAGGGTGGTAATTTATTCCAAGAACACCTCATTAATAATGTCCCTGATTGTGGCACTGTTAGGAAGCAGCAAATATATAACTCAATAATTCAGTTCTATTTGTTAATTAAATTAATGAATCGACTGCTATTTTGAATTATGTACATATATTAGGTTATCGACGTTAAGTCGTGCCCCATTGAATTCATTGAAGTTTGATAATTGACCAGATAAGTTAATCATTTTTAACTCATTATTACTTTTGATATAGATGTTAATCAACTGCAAATTTATCATTAGAGCAAAAAAGAATTCATCATTCGGGATTTTATCTTCTTGTCTCAATTATTAATAGTCTTTGTTCCGTTTCAACATAACATGCATTCAGTTGTGTTTGAGTTTTTAACAAAAAGCCATACCGCTATTTTATCGAATTACAACAGATACTGTGTAGTGTAACTTCAAAATCGCATGGAAAGGATCAATTCCTTTAAGATTACGGATAAGCCTTGTTGAGAACTAGCATCAAACCTAGGTCAAGAAGGACTCTCGTCAATAACTTCAACTGTCCAACAACTTGATAACTGCATCCTTAGTTCACTAAAACGATTTTGCAAACCTCGAATATATCTCTTTTTACAGGTTGAATTTATCATAATAGTTCAACTCAATGGTCCATCACAGACCCCTAATGAAGTTGCAATTTCGAATTTTAGAAGAGCCCTGTGTTAGAACAAAACCACTGTCTAGTCATCCCTGACTTTCGACAACACTTCAAGTAATATAAATCTGTGACAGATACAATCTACAGATTGATTTTGTCCTGAAAAACCATCAACTAAATTATAATAGTCAGCCCAATAATGACTTTAGGATATTTCTAAAATTCTAATGAGAAGTGATTAATGAAGTCCAAAATGTCCGAAAAGAAATACTAATGAATTTTGATAGTGAGTGACAGTCTCATTATATTACAAATTTGTTGAGATTTGAACTATACTATTAGATGCTGACTCATTGTTTCTTACAATTAATCGTTCTAAATGAGATCTTAATGTCTAGGGTTCCATTGATAGGGAGGTCTTAGGTGTCCACTGCCAAATATTCTCACTCTAGGATAAAATATTTTCACATTACTACCTATTTTATCAATGGTATTCTAACTTAGATAAATGTGTGACAATTACAACTTATTAGGTTTTACATTTAAACATTGAGAAGTGACAACCGGTGAAATGTTAATGTTGAGCTTAAGCAAAACAGCTTAAAAATGTTCAGCAGAAAAATTTGCAAAATGACTTATTCTATTTGTTAGATGATGACATTAAGATTAAAAGATAAATTGCTGAGACTAGCTGCCTCTGAAGGAACTGATCACTATCGGATGACCAATCAACTGAAGATTTAGAAAACTGT